TATATATTTTTTTTTTTTTTTTTAAATATACGAAAATAAACAAACAACAAAACAAACAAACAAAGACAATAAAGTAACAAAATAATTATATACAAAATATTTGCTATCCAGAATTTTCAAACCAACCATTCGCCACTACTCACACCTTCTATCTCCTACGACTGCCACACTGAACTGAGCACGAGTCACTCTATTTATAATGAGTGACTCCGCCCAGTTTGGATTAAACTATATTGAAGGTAAGTATAAGGTAAGTATGGACATAAACAAATCTTTCAGGTAAGCATTTCACACTTTCATACACTTCATTTGTATTACCATATAACTTAAAACAAAAATTATTAATCAGCATTTTCACATGTCATGAATTCTCCTTTTTTCATTGTTTTCCCATTCTGTTCATCCCCCACATAAAACACATAGTCTTCCCCGGGTGCCCGACCACTCAGCGCATGCGTGCTCTATTTTTAGATGTAAGGCTCATTGGGCTCAACACAACATTAATATTCTCCACATTATCGCTCTAATCGGAAGTATTGGTTGTATCTTTAGGTAGATTTGCAAACATGTGTACTTTATTGCGTCTACTGCCTAAACTTCAGCCGTTTGCTTTTCTCGAGATCACAGAAGCTCCCTGTAATCTTAACAAGGTGAAGCTAGAAAAGTTGGAAGTTGGAAGCTGGAAAAGCGCCACAGACAACCACCGACTTGAAGCGCTGTTGTGTTTACCCTGATGGAAACCTGTGTTTAGAATTCTAAAATGCGTGGCGCAACAATTCGGGACTCTTCATGTTTCTGCAGCGCCACAGAGAGTGTCTGGTGTGCCGTGTCGCGGCTTCGAGCGGCGCATCCGGTGCCTCAGTCAAAGTTAATTCAGTTTGCGTGGTTATTATTCTCGGTGTACAAGCTCGGCACCTTAAACTAGCACACAGTTGGCTGTAAAACTATACAAAGACACAAATGATTGTGTTCTCTCTGCTTGGTCTGTGTCCGAGTCGTATATGTACAGCTGAATGCTGATCCTCTCACTCCTGCTCCTTCTCTCTGTCTGCCTGTCTGCTGCAAACACAGAGCGGGTGAGCTCTTGGCTCCGCCCCCTTGTTACGTTGGACGGGAAGCTGAAACTAATTTTCATGTGAAGCAACACGCCCCTAAAACAGAGAGCTGTGTACACGCCCACAACATGACACTGTTACACACATTATAATAAAAACATCTGAACTGTGTGTTAAACTGAACCTAAACTGCCAC